TGTGCATTCATATTGCAGCCAAATCACAGCATATTTGGCGTCATGTCCTCTCACTCACAAATCGATGCAAAACCAGCTGCTGCCAGTTGCTCAAAGTTTAGTAAATCATCCGTGTGCAATATCTCCATGTACTGTTTGCACAATTTACCCATTTAAGTTACTGTGCACACTGACTGGTTCCATTCGCCGCTTTACTATGCACACGGCCCATCGGACATCCATCCCAGCATATTCTGCTGATATTAGCACGACACTGATACCCAATATCTGTGCCATCTGTAGTGTTTATCTTTATCTTTTTATCGTTTTATTTTATTCTCCAAGGTGTCTAAGACACACCAAACATGACAGAAAAGTCTCCCTAGAGACTTACCCTAGAAGTACCCTAGATATATGTATTAATTTATCACCCTCATTTTTTATGAATAACATATTTAAGGTCTCTAGTAAAGCCATTCAGCACTGAATTATTGATCTGAAAATGTATTACTCCTTTGCTCATGCTGCAGAGTTTCATGCCAGTTGTGTACCTTGTACTGTACGGGAAATGTCAATAATGAAATGTTTTTTTTTAAATACATCTGCAGTGCAAAATCAGTCATTATCCATGTGATCTGTCTATTGGTTGGGGTATTACATGGGAACATCCCAACGCCTGGAATTGTTATGTACTGGAATGGATATGACTCATCTGCCAAAGCCTGAATCACTCTTCAACAAAACGACTGTCTGTAAAGGACTTGAAAGCATGTATCGCCTACTTCTTTTTCAAAAATACCCTAGAAGAACTACGATTTTGCCCATTTTTATTGACACGTAAGAGGTGGAATGACACATATATCACACTAAAACCTTGATCCATATGGTCTTAAAGAGATTACATCATGCTAATAAACCGTGAAACAGTTCAGAGGTATTTACTGCTCAGTTTAAAATTACTTTGATGTTGCTTAAATCCACAGCGACATATCAGATTGCTGCATGCGTGCCTAAATCAATTACCAGTCCTGTGAAGTAGTTTCTGAAGTTTTCGAAAGGTCCATAAGGAGAATGTTTAACGCATGAGCTGCGCAATTTTCTGTGTAGTGAGGCTTGATGTAGCCATAAATGAAGGTTCACAAAGCAATTAAATTCCACACTATTTTGTCTTTTGATTGTCTCACTTGCACTGGGACATGTATCTGTATGCGTCTGTTACTAGAAGCAAGTATTTTTTCTGTGTTATGTGAAAAAAAACATCTTTAAGCTCTACATTTGTCACCTTTGAGCCACAAAGGAAGCTACCTAATGCTTTGTGTTGCTAGAAATCTCAGCAATCTACTTCATTTGGAATATGAATAAAGTTGTCTTATTGATATATTCATGAATATAAAGTTATCAAGCTACTGCACATGCTCCATAATACTTTTTCATTATTGTATGCGTATGACCATAAAATAACACATTTTTTTCTTTCTTTTTTACAGACAAAGGACACCATACATGAAGACAGCACTTGGATATTTCCCATGTTAAGGATGTACAACATTTTGGCTTGACACGACTGCTTCTAAGGACACGTTTTCTCTAGACATTTTTCTTCATCCCTCAGGGTTGGCTTTCAAAACTCATAAGTGTTTTTGCCTGCTTTTTGTCGGTCACCACTGGATATAAAACCAGTTCTGCTTCACTGCATCTGGAGTGCAAACAGGCTAAAATATTGCCCTCCATGGTTTCTGCCCATCTAAAGAAGCTATCGTCTTATATTTTAAAGATTTGCAAAGGAATGTTTACAAAGAAACTGGCAAATACCACAAAGAAGAAAGAGAGTAGCGAAAATAAAAAAGAGCCTAAATCCTCCCCCGAATTGCACGCTCGGAATCCAACCTTTTCCACCACACTGAAAAGCACAGTTAAAAAGATATCTAAATGCTCGTCAGCACGCAATATATCTCTTGAGGAAGACGACGGTAAAAACGACTGCTCTTCTCTTTCTCCCACGTTCAGTTACCGTGTGGCGATTGCTAACGGACTCCAGAAAAATGCTCTCCCGTTAAATAATGAATTTCACGAAGTGTTGTCCGTTGATAGTAGTTACTCTGACTCTCTAAACGAGGCCAAACTTGTGCATAGATTCGATGAACAAAAAGCTTACACAATGCCAGTAAGAAGGAATAGGAAGAGTATGATTAGCTTGGCGCCCTCTGATGGCAGCTCGGAGGGCGAGCGGGGAGAGCGCACCAGTCTCCACACCCTCCGACTAGGCGCTCTGAAAAAGCTGAGGAAGTGGAAGAAGAGCCAGGAATGTGTCTCTTCAGATTCAGAGGCCAGCAATTGGAGAAAAACTCTTGGCATCCGGAGCAAGTCTCTGGATCGGGCTGGGAGGCAGCAAAAAACATCTACCTTGGAGCCAGGATCCAGCTCCACAGGTTGCATCAGTCAAACACAGGATGTGATGGAGATGATCTTCAAAGAGCTTCAGGGAATCAGCCAAATAGAGTCTGAGCTCTCAGAGCTGAGAGGGCACGTTAATGCTCTCAAAAGCTCCATTGATGAGATCTCCAGCAGTGTGGAGGTGGTGCAGAGCGAAATCGAGCAGCTTCGCTCTGGATTTGTGCAGTCCAGGAGAGAGACTCGAGACATCCATGACTACATCAGGCAGATTAGCCGCCAGACCAACAAAGCTACTTTGAGATTCCTAAACGTGCCTGAGGAGAAGTTCGAGAGGACTGAGGAACTCATTTATCAGATCTTGAAAGAGAAAATGGGTTTCGTTGAAGCACACAAGACACTTAAAATTGAACTCGCCCATCGATTGGGGCAACAAAGAGAATGTTCAAATGCTAAACCTCGCCCTATAATTGTTATTTTTGCAACTCCTCAAGACAGGGACTTAGTTTTGAAAAAATGTTATAAGCTCAAAGGAACTGGAATATCGATCTCAACTGACAGTCTTGCACATGACTCAAAAGACAAGAAGGATAAGGGGATGAGCTCTTCCCAGACTTATGAAAGCATGGACATTAAAGTGTCGGCCAAAGAAAAGGCAGAGAGTGACGACTGGGACTCAATGGACAGTGATAAAGAGCTAGACGAATTAAATAAAAACAAATATGCAATTGTGTCCAAACCACCTCAGAAAATTAAATCGGACAAAAAAAAGGCCCACGATCACAGGCGTTCTGCAGATGACACCGCTTACTCTGTGCATTATGCAGATGATACTGCATACGATGACAAGCAACACAAATCTTACTATACTGATATAACTCCTGGCTGGCTCTCTCAGAGTGACTACTCTACTCCTAAACTCAGTCGGTCAGAATCAGACTGCTCCAAACTGTGTCAGTCTTACTCTGAGGATTTCTCAGAGAGCCAGTACTTCAGCAGAGCAAATGGATGCTCCCTGCTCTCTTCCTCAGATCAGGAGCTCTGGCAGCGGAAACAAGAAGACATGGCTTCTTCCTGGTATGCAAGTCCGCCCAGCCAAACCCTCAGTCAGGAAAACCCTCCGTATGTGGAACACAATGAAGTTGAGACCACAGAGACCATTGACAGTGGTGTCAGTAATGGTCTGGTGTGTATATCAGGGGACAGAAGTCACTATAGCGGCTCTCAGCTATCACTGCAAGGTGACCTCTCACCTTGGAAAGACTGGCATCACCTTGAACAAGGTGCTGACTCAGGCTTAGATGCCTCAACTGAGCAAAATATAGTTTCAGAAATCAGTAGCCCCTTTGATCCTGCTGCTAATCCTGGATTCCCAGAGAAAATTACAAAATGCCTTGAGGTCGATTTGCAGTTTGAGGGCGAGACCTTTTTGACATTTGACAGTACACCTGAGACAACCCAGGAGGTCGACATGGAGCGTGAACCTATCCTTGAACCTGAGTTAGAACCCGAGCCAGAACCTAAACCGGAACCTGAGCCAGTACCCGAACCAGAACCTGAGCCAGAACCTGTGATTGAAGCTGTGGTACAACCCATGTCAGTGCCAGTACCAGTTCCAGAACCTAAAAAAGAGACAAAAACAGAAAAGAAACAGAAGACCAAGCCTAAAGCCCATTCAAAGCCAGAGTCAGCCCCTCAGACGCTGCAACGACCGGAGGTCAAGGGGAACCATTTACAACAAAATCAGAAGTCTTCCTCTATGTATCGTAGTCAGAGTGAGATCAGGACTGAGAAGGTGGAAGAGGTCCCCAAATCCTGGAGCAGCAGGCTGAGCATAGACCTATCTGAGAAAACCTTCAGCTTTGGAGGTTTTGGGTCCACCCTGCAGAGAGCAAAATCGGCTCTAGAGGTCGTCTGGAATAAGGGCTCACAAAGCTCTAGTGCACCTGCCGAAGAGCCAAGCACCTCCTCTTTTATGGGTCGCTTCAGGACCATGTCCCAATCCACGGCCAATGATTCCAGCACCACCATCGACTCTGACGTCTACACGGAACCCTTCTACTACAAGGCTGACGAAGAAGAACAAGTATCAGAACAACCTGTGGATAGCGAGACGCATTACGTTGAGGTGATGGAGCAAGTGCTTGCCAACCTTGAGAACAGGACAAATGCCAATGAGGCAGAGGAACCGTACCAAGAAGAAGAGTATGAAGTCTCACAAGAATACGACATTTCACAAGAGGGAAACCCAGTGTTGGAATACGACTGCAGTCTAGATGAACAGTATGACGAAGAATATAGCGAGGACTACGATGATAACCAGATGACAGAAGACACAGCAGAGTATGAGGCCATGATTGAGTACATTGAAGAAACTGAGGAACCAGTGGAAGAGGCTGACAAACAAGAAGATGAAGAAGCAGAACTGGAAGCAGAGGTGTGTGACACTGCACAGACACAAGAAGCAGAGGAGGTCAAAGAAACATTGACTCAGGAAGACGAAAACAAAAATGTCACAGAAGCCCCTGCCGTGGTGGTGGAACAGGCCCCCAAGAAAAGGATACGACCTACCTTTAAGGAAGCTGCTCTGAGGGCCTACAGGAAGCAAATGGCTGAGCTGGAGCAGCAGATTCTTGCTGGAGGTATGGGCTTGCTAGTTTTACATATATTAAACTTACAAATGAATGTTTCGTTTAGTGTTCACATTCACTTTTTATGATGTGATAAACAATGAGGGCTGGGACGATAAGCAAAAAATCAAACCACTTTGGGAACCACAACATTTTATGTCTATTTTACCCTCTTGGCTATAAATAGGTCTCATTATGTGCTGATGTGCTAATATAGGCTAAAAATATGAACAAAAATACAGATTTACTTTGCTCTGCTTTAAGCTTTAGCTTAGCTTTTCTTGCATCTCCACCAGGAAACTTTTCTGCAGAAGTAGAACAGTTTCTTGTAAAATGTCTCTTAACGTTTGACATTTTATGAGGCTGAAGTCAGCTTCTCATTCACCAGTTTCTTGTTTGAATTTTCCCGTTGCACCTTAAATGTAACTGCTGCACCATTTAAGGTGGAACAGGAAAATTTGAACAAGAAGCTTGCAAATGAGAGGCTGACTTCAGCTTCACAACTTTTTGGTGTTTGACAGTTTCTCTATGCAGATTAAACTTATCAGGAAACCAGCTGGAGTGATTATAAATGCAAATAAGTCCATTCATCCATGTTCGTCTTAATTCTTTCTCTTTGCTTTTTCATTAGCTACTAGCTAGGTGAGATTGTTGTCTGTGTTGCTATGGTGACCATTAGTCTGCACGCCAGTCTTCAGGGTTAAAGGGTGAATTAGCAGCTATACATTAACTTCAGTGTTTAAGACCATTTATTGTTAAACTGTGTTGAACGATCAGCAGAGCTTTATTTTACTGTAAAGGAGGATTATTTTATTTTTACCTACAAATCTAATTCTGCTGTAGCGCCACAACAGGACAATAAAAGAGCTGCGCATGTTGCTGACCCCTGGTATATTCTGTGTATCTAGTACAGTTTCCGTTTGCCTCGTTCCGTTCATCCTTTTCACATCAAATCCAAGTTTTGTGCTGTGCTTTCTTGAATGGTATTAGAGTGAAAACTGAAATTGAATGGGTCCTGTGGTGTGTGTAGCTTAATTTAGTTTTTCGGTATTTTTCCTGGCTCAGATTTTTACCCTCTTTCAGTGAGCGCTTCCTATTGGTGAGCTCCCACTCCACCAATCAGTGACCGCTATACAATATAAATAGATAGAATATGTTTATTTAGCTGTAATGTTTGGAAATACCATCATAATTTCTAAATACTGGCATCATTTTTTGGTACCACAGTATGCCTTATTACCATTATACCATCCAACACTACTGCTGTGTAGGGGTGGGAATCTTTAGGCACCTCACGATTCGATTTGATTAGGATTCAGAGGCTGCGATGCGATTATAAAACGATCATCGATGCATCTCGATGTATTTTTTTCTATACAGGATTTCTATCTTCCTACTGTCTGAGGACTTGGTGGTTTTAAGGCAAAGTATTTGTAATGATCCATAATGTAAATGCATTACGGATCATTACAAATACTTTGCTTTAAATATCTAAAATATCTTTTATTAATAAATCAAATGGAAGTGATGTGGCAAGTGAACTAGAAGGTTCTCATTCAGAGACGCTGCTGCCACTCATCTGCGATAAAATGTGCTGTTACCCTGAAATAAGATCCAGTGGTGATGGGTGTCCACGCAGCGCGTTACAGCCGTCCTTCCCGTTTTTTTTTAGTGATCTGATAACTTCGGTTTTGGTCTCATTGTAGTGTGTGTGTGTGTGTGTGTGTGTGGGGGGGTATTTTCGAGACTGGATGCTGAATCTCGGCTCCAAAGCGTGCAGCATAGCGCGAAAGCCCTGGTTCTCAACGACCGAGAACAGACAGCAGACAGCAGGTCACATAGCCCCGAGGTCTGGCCTCGCCAGTAGCGAATGAAAAAACAGAGATTAAGACGAACATTTGGAGACTTATTCGCATTTATAAGCAGCGCGGTTGGTTAAATCTGCAACAAGAGACTGTCTTTCTCTAAAAAGTTGCGAAAATGAACTCGCTTCCCTTTCGTATTTTCCACCTTAAATAGTGCAGCAGTTACATTCGGCACCTGAGGCAGAATTTAAGGTGGAACGGGAAAATTAGAACAAGAAGCTGGAGAATGAGAAGCAACTTCAGCCTCGTAAAACAGCCGGACGCTGAGACATTTTACAAGAAACTCTTCTAGTTTTGAAGAAAAGTTTTCTGGCGGAGATGGAGGAAAGCGGCTGTAGCTAAAGCTTAAAGCAGAGCAGAGTAAATCTGCGCTCTCGTTTATATTTTTAGCCCATACTAGCATATACTGACACATACTGGACATTAAATGTTGAGGCTCCTAAGGTGGTTTGATTTTTGTTGAAAGGACAAAATGTCTCTTTTTATCATTTAAGTTGAGACTCCTGACATAACCTGGCTTTAATGCAGAGGGAGCCGGTCGGATTTCTCACTCATCCAGTTGTGTTTTTGTTATGTGCCCCACAGACTGTCCAGGCGCTGTACTTACCGACTTCCAGGTTCCGCCCTTTGCGTTCCGTCAACGTTGCGTTATAAATTAAACATTTAGAAAATCAATTTTTGACATTTGTGAATCGATTCAGAATCGTTCACGTCCGCATCGCGATGCATCTAAGAATCGAGTTTTCCCCGTACCCCTACTGCTATATGTGATAAATGAAGTGAAACCATGACTTTCGGAGAATGGATTGAAGTGAAGAACGCTCATAAAGAAAAATAGAAAGAAAAAAATGATCAATTCTAACTTAATAATAAATCGAGAAGTGGTTCCAGCCCTGTTAACCATTAGAATTATGTGTAAATAATTTTGAACAACTTTGGCAGATTGTGAGCCAGATTAAATGTGGTATAAACTGCTTTCGCCATTGTGAAAACAGACAGTAGTGAAACAATAGACAGTCATATGTAGATTGTATCCATCAGGCTGTGCTTTAAAGCTGTTCTTGAAGCTTTGAAGGTGCTTTGTGAAAAGGGCTAACAGCGATTGCAGGAGTTTGATGTTGAGTTGATATTGAGGCCTTTGAATTGGCTATTGATTTGTGTGTGCGTGTGTGTGTGCGTCTGTATATCGGTGTGTGAGGGTCATTCTAGTGTTATAGTCCCATGTCTTTGTCAGTGGATGCTGATGTAGCAGTGTTGTCTTAGTCTAAAAGGAGAATGATGAGTGGTTTGACAGATATCAGTGTTAAAATACGAACGTACGCTCAACATTAATACTGCAGACTCCTCCAGGCCGTTCAGTTAAATTGCAGTATTACAATGATGCTGATTTAGAGATTGGCACCCAGAAAACCTATTTAATGGGCAATCTGGTGTGTCATTAGCAGATGAAAGTGCTGCTCTGCGGTTGCCGTTCAATCACAGATAGCATCTGAATGCAATGGCTGGCTATCGATTCAGCGGGCGAAAACAACGAGCTTGAGGATATGCTTCGGTGGAGAGAGGATGGAAGAGCACTCGACAGGCATGGAGTTTATTACAGACGAGCAGGGGACCAGGGGAATTTCCGCCCCGCATTACTCACTCTACGCAAGCTCTTGACCTAGATGTGAGAAGTACGTTCGGAATGCACAGTAAACTCACACTGCACGCTGTCTGCCCTGCCAGAGAAGTGATGGAATACAACTCTGTGTTCACACATCCTGTCCTGGAGGGACACAGCATCTAGTTTTGTCATGTTTTCACTGATTCTTCTGAAATTAGTTGATTATGAGAGCAAGGAGAGCCTTGCGTTGTTCACTGGATGTGCATGAATCTGTTTTGAAATGAATGAGTTTAACCCTTTAGGGGAACATGCGTTGATTAAGAAAAAGAGGAAAAACTTCCCAATAAACTCTCCTTTGCTCGGTTTGCTTGTGTACTGTTAAATTTAATCAGGTTTAACTCTTCAGGGGAAGATTTAGCTGTATAGAAGTTCATTTAACACTAATGACTGTATGGTGATTAAACTGTGCTGTCTCGCAGCCCTCCACGGTTGAATCAGAGGAACAGGGCTAATGCAGTGTTCATTCAAGCTGCGTATACTCTCTACTGGATTCCGTGAATGATTTTGCTGGCTTTGAGTATTTCTGCCTGCAAATTGACCCAGAAGGTCTAGTTATTTTTCTATGCCTTGACCTAGGTATGAATTATTTTTACAGACATTATACACTGATTTGTTTAGAGCAATTTGATGAAATCATAGGGTAGCTGTTTACATCAAGCCTGTTGATCAAACATGTGTTTTGTTCACTTTCTTCTTACTCATTCCCATTTTACATTAGCACTGACAGCTAGTCATTTAGCAAGTACTGTTCTCCCAGGAAACATGTCTGGAAATGCTAGTTCACATTTGTGCTTAAAAATCTGAAAGAAAAAGAGGTTCTGTTGATATGCATTAAAACAGGGGTGTCCAAGTCCGACCCCTGGCCCAAATGTGGCCCAAGGACAGATTTTAATTGGGCCTTGGCTTCTCTGCTAGAATGTGATCCCAGCCAGATTCAAGACAGATGGAAGTCAGAATGCTTTTTCATCAAGAGCCATTGCAAATATGTGTACTTCATATGTCAAGAGACTATAATGAATTTAATGGTAAAACATACAAAACAAACCATGAACTTTAGTGAGCTTTTTTTTTAATTTGCCTTTTTGTTAATGCGTGACATAAAATAGGGAAAACACCCTTCAGTACATGTTAAAAAAGTTAACATTAAATCTAGAATTTTATGTGATTATTACAGTTTGCAGTGTATATGCCTGTGAAATGTGTGGTCATCCAATGCAATGAATTTCAATATTCTTTTGCTTGTGGATTTGTCATGGTGTTGGCATGCTCGCTAGGACTTTCCGCTCTGCTTCTGTTGTTTTACTGTACTTTGCGTCCTGGGACGCTGTGTTTTCAAGTGTTGTCAAACTTGTAGAGGAGAAGTTCTTGGGTGTTGTATCTCCCCTTGAGACTCTGCATGGGCAGTGATTAAAATTCCTCCATCTAACATTCCTGGTAGAAAGCGTGAAATAGTTCCATGTAGCTGAAATTTACATTATTGATCT